GATACATGTGTTCAATATATACATTTAAAAAGTAAAATTATTCTAGAAGGCTTATCACTAAAAATGTGGCCAACTCCTTTCCCATTCCTCCTCATAAAATTTAAACTCTTTTGAGTTTTTTCTGTTTCTCTCTCTCTGTATGTATATATTACTAACTAATATATATATCACCAACAATGCACTTACACTGGTATTATTTGGTTGATCAATTTCAGACATTATCTATTGATCTCCTGTAAGGGTGAATAGGTTTTGGCTTTCTTGCATCCCCATCCCACTTCTCTCTGCCTATCTTCCCAGTGTAGTCATATCACAATTTTATGTTAAACCAGTGGCCAGAATTTACATTTACACATAACTATCTTTCATATTGAGCAAATGCACTAAAATTACATATCCTTTCTTGCACAGCATTTTATCTTTGCTTATTGTAACAATTGCCTCATTTTTTCCTTTTCTTTATTTCTCAAGTGTCCATCAAGATTCATACCAAATGTTCCAGCCTATCTGTCAAAGATGTATCAAACATTTTCAAATCCCTAAATGCATGAGATAATCTATCAGTTACACTCACCACCCCAAACCTTGTATCTCTGCCCTTCTGCTCCAGCCTGGTTTGGTTGTTAGGGTAACTAGTCTCCAGATGCTTCCCTCTCACCTCTAATGAACTTCCTGGTATTCATACCCTTGAGGTGTTCCCTCTGCTTGAATCGAGGATAGCCTTGTAATTTACTTTTTGACTAATAGAATGCAGCAGAAATGATGCCAAATCACACCTAAGGTTAGGTCATAACTTTGCAGATTCTTCCTGAGTCTGTTGGAATGATCATTTTTGAGAAAGCTAGATATAATATAAGAAATCCAGCTACTCTGAGACTGTCATACTTTAAGGAAGCCCAAAATACCTGGCAGAGAGGACATGTGGAGAAAGAGAATTGCCTATTCAGCCCTTGGTTCTTCATATCATCCTATCTATTTGCTAGACTTGTGAAAAATCATCTTGGATGTTGTCTTTGAATCTTTTTTCATATTGAAGACTTTCTCCAAATGTCTGGTGACCCTTGGTTGTCTATTCATATTTAAAGTAACACACTGAAAACTAATTAGGTAGTGCTGCCTGCATGATTGAGGGCCATGCACTGGTAACTTTGTTGCAGGAGGATTGGGTTGATACTGTTGGGAGATATCAAATATCAATATCTGTCTGTCTTTTACTAGGGCCATTCAGTTTGTCCAGAGGTTAAACACCCCATTTTCCTAAGAATAGGATCCTACAGTTCAGGGGCAGTGAGTGGGAAGGTTTTCTCTGAATCCATCTATTTTCAACCCTGCCCCCTGTTTTCTGGCTTCTCTGAGTCCAGAGCCTCACTCAATATTTGTATTTTCATTAATTTTCATCAAAGTGAGCAATGTTGAATGTCGCAGGGTCTTTTGGCTTATTATAATCAAATGAGGATTTCTTTTATTGAAGTATAGTTGATATACAGTATTATATTGTTTTCAAGTATACAGCATAGTAATTTGACAGTTACCTACATTATTAGATACTTTTCCAACTAGCATAGTTACTATCTGTCAACATGGAAAGATGTTACAGAGTTATTGACTATATTCTCTATGCTGTACTTTCATCCCCCTGATTTATATTATGATTGAGATTTTGTGCCTCTTTGTCCCCTTCACCTATTTCATCCACCCATCCCTGCCTTTCCTCCATGGTAACCAGCAGTCACTTCTCAGTGTCTAAGAATTTATTGCTGTTTTGTTTGTTTTGCTCTTATAAGTGAAATCATTGGCATTTGTCTTTCTCTGCCTAGTTTATTTCACTTAGCCTAATACCCCGTGGGTCCATCCATGTTGTCACAAATGGTAAGGTGTCAATCTTTTTTATGGCTGAGAATTATTTCACTGTATATATGTAACACTCTTGTTTATCCATTCATCTATTGATGGACACTTTGGTTGCTTCCATATCTTGGCTACTGTAAATAATGCAGCAATAAAAATAGGGGTACATGTATCTTTTTGAATCAGAGATTCTGTTTTCTTTGGGTAAATTCCTAGAAGTGGAATTATTAGGTCCATGATATTTTCTATTCTTAGCTTTTGGAGGAACCTCCATACTGCTTTCTATGGTGGCTACACCAATTTATGCTCTCACCAACCTTGTAGGAGGGTTCCCTTTTCTCCTCATCCTCACCAACATTTGTTATTTTTTGTCCTTTGGATACTGACCATTCTGACTGGTATGAGGTGAAATCTCATTGTGGTTTTGATTTGCATTTCCTTGTTTATTAGCGACATGGAGCATCTTTTCATATGCCTGTTTGCCATCTATATGTCTTCTTTGGTAAAGTGTCTATCCAGGTCCTCTGCCCATTTTTTGATTGGGTTATTTGTTTTTTTGGTATTGAGTTGTATGAGTGTTTATACATTTTGGATGTTAGCCCTTTATTGTATATATCATGTGCAAATATATTCTCCCATACTGTAGGTTGCCTTCTCATTTTATTGATGGTGTCTTTTACTGTACAGAAGCTTTTTAGTTTGATGTAGTATTACTTGTTTATTTTTGTTTTGTTTCCCTTGTCAGGCAGATGTTTCCCTTGTAGCCAGAAAAAAATTACTTATGCTTATGTTGAAGAGATTTTTACCTATGTTTTCTTCTAAGAGTTTTATGGTTCCATGTCTTATATTAAGGTCTTTAATCCATGGCTTTACTTTTGTGCATGGTGTTAGACAGTAATCCAGTTTCATTATCTTGCTTGCAAGTGTCCAGTTTTGCCAACAGCAGTTGTTGAAGAGGCTGTCTTTTCTCCATTGTATATTATGGCTCCTTTATCATATATTAAATGACCATATATGCATGGGTTTATTTCTGGGCTCTCTATTCTGTTCCATTGATCTATTTGCCTATTCTTGTGCCAATATCATACTGTTTAATCACTTTAGTTTTGTAGTATAGTTTAAAGTCAGGGAGAGTGATACCCCCAGCTTTGTGGTACTTCTCAAGATTGCTTTGGCTATTCAGGGCCTTTTGTTGTTCCATATAAATTTTAGGATTCTTTGCTCTAATTCATTGAAAAATCCTTGGTATTTTGATAGGGATTACACTGAATCTAGAAATTGCTTTGGGTAGGATGGCCACTTTAACAATATTAATTCTTCCTATCCATGAGCATGGGATAGATTTCCATTTATTTGCGCCTTCTTCAGTTTCTTTCATCAGTGTCTCATGGTTTGCAGAGTACAGTTCTTTCATTTTGTTGATTGAATTTATTCTCAGGTATTTTATTCTCTTTGATGCAATTGTAAAGGAATTGCTTTCTTGATTCTCTTTCTGTTAGTTTGTTATTAGCATATAGAAATTCAATGTATTTCTGTATATTGTTTTTACATCCTGCCACTTTACTGAATACATGTATTTTAATAGTTTTTTTTGGTGGAGTCTTTAGGGTTTTCTACATATAGTATCATGTCAGAGGATCTTTTTAATATAGAACATTTGTGCATCATTAAATTCCCTCTCTCGAGGTGGATAGGAGGTGGCCACTGGTGTGGTTGGTCTCATGGCTGCATTACCCTAAGGGTCACAGGTCAAAGGAGAGTGTAGTGATTAAGAGCATGGGCTTTAGGATGAGAAAATCTTGGGTTTGAGTTCTATTTTGTAACTTTTTACCTGTATGTCATTTTTGTAACTCCCTTAAGCCTCAGTTTCCTCATCTGTTAAATGGGGAAAGTAATATCCTATTTCTTAGGATTGCTTATTTTGTAATATAAATAAGCATAAAAAATAATATATCTTATTTCTTAAAATTAAATAATACATCTATGTCACTTAACACAGTGTCTGGCATATAATTAAACATTCAATAACTAATGATGATATTAATCTGTTTTAGAAAACACATCTGGCTGGGCAGCATAAATTTGATTTCTCCTCTAACTGGTTCTTTGGTCCTAGATATATCACTGGAACTATAAAGTCCAGAAGGATTATAAATATCATCAAATTCAAGCCCTGTAATTTGGTTCATGGATTATCTTTTTTGCTTTCCCCAACAATTGGCTTCATAAACAAGTGCTAGGATTGAGCCCTGACCTTGGACTTGATGTCACCTGAGCCTGTCTTATAATGACCACAGTGTTATTGACGCTCTTCTTTCCTTGCCCAATCAACTCGAATGGTGATTTTGACTTATGTGATTGTTTATGGCAATCTTAAGTTTCTTTCCCCATCATCAGGGCAAGGGGGCCAAGGGTCTGGGTGAGGAAGAACCCAGAAAAGGAACAGAGCCAAATTCCAGTCTAACTCTCTTTTGGCTCCTATGAGGAGTCCATGTGTAAACATCTGCCCACGGAGAAGTTCCTCCCATTTTATTGTAAGCTGCACAGTAGCCAGGAGGCCTGTTGCTTATGCACAGCTTACACATGCACATGCACACAACATGCACGGATGTTCCTACACATGTGGGAAATCCCTCTATATGTACTGTTAACTCTGGGGGGGAAAGATGTGTTCCAAGCCAGAAGCAAATTACCTTTGAAGCCAAAATCAGTCAAGGGAGAAATAAAGTGGGAGAAACCCACTTATTGTCTATAAGCAGTTGTCCACTTCTGCTCACTGGTGTCATACAACCTGGTTGCAGAAGAAGAGGCCCCACCCAACATCTCCAGCCCAGGTATGCCCTATTGATATGGAGATGCACTACTTTTCTCTACCCCTTGGAAACACCTATTGATATGGAGATGCACTAAGGTCAGGGGCGAGGGATTCTGGAACTACTGCAATTTTACCCACATGCATAGACAGAGAAGTCCATGTATGCGTACACCACCAGTCCACACATTTGCACACACACACATACACTAGTGGCCAGGAGAAAAGTGCTCAGCACATATCATACATCCCAGATTGAGGGAGACCACTCAGGACAGAGAAAGGGAAGATTATGAGGCAAAAAGAGAAATGAAACTAAAAGATCCTGCCCTGTCAGCATTAACTGGAATATAAGAAATGGACTTTGAACAGACAGACTGACTCTTGGGGCCTGCTAACAGTCAAAATGTCCAGAGGGACTCTCACTGTTTGGCTGCTAATGAAGCTTGGGTCGCTTTATCTGAGTAAGTGTTCTGAGTTTTTCCTTGCAGGATTTCCCAGACGGCTTGGTATCCTGTAGTAGATTTCCATGGCTAACCGGGCCTTAGTAAAGCAGAAACCTGCTTCTTTCCTGCTCCCCCCAGGTTTCCTTTTTAGAGGGTCTCTCGCCTTCCTTGTTTCACAAGGTTTTATCCTGAGACTGGTTTTGGAGTTTTAGCATGGAGGTAACTTCTGTTCATATCAGAAATAGCAATTTAAGAAGAAACACAGAAATAAGGGTCAGGTGGAAAGGGCTTGGTACTGTTAGCACAGAGTCAGGGGGATTTGTTCTGGTGAGAGCTCTTATTATAATCCTTATTTTTCTCTTTATTTTCAGCAGTTTTTGTTTGCTTTTTGTTTTGTTTTATTTTGCTTGGAATGAGGCCTCAAGGTGAGGTTTCTTTTTTGCACATTGTTTCCACATTTTGGACAATATAAATATACATACTAAATTTGGGCTAGTTTAGACTTTTGCATCTGGGTGGTATAGAACAAAATGCTCTGTTCTGAGCTGCTGTTGTATTTTGGTCACTAGCCATCGACACTGGGAACATGTCTAAATTGCTCTGGTTCTTCCATGTGTGAAATGAGGGGGTCAGCTAAGACCAGTTTTAGCAATCCGTAATTCTAGGACTAGACAATGTTGGATGTCCCTTACAGTTTTAAAAGTTTGTAGTTTCTTTCACATGAATCTTTCAAATGTGAGGTGTGGGAAAACACCTATATTCCAAGGAAAACAAATGTGTTCTTTCCCTCAAGCCTTTGTCTGCTCTTTCTTTCTTTTCTCTATAAATCCATGTATCCTCAGATCTCTACCTAAGTCAGTCTTTTTGTGAGCTCCCATAGTCCATGGACTAGTTTAGTGTCTGCTATGAGTTCCTGTCTTCCCCGGCAAAGAACTTGGCACCTTGTAGTAACTATTCTCTTATCTTCTACTCTTCCCAGATACTCTGTAGGGGTAAATGGATTGGAAGCAGTTACTTTTTTTTAATCAGTGTTTTTGTAGTAGTCTTTATCTTGTCCTGGAAACTTGAGGTATGGAGGGTTTTCTTACGCCAAAAGTTGCCAGAGTCTATGTGTACATTTCCTGTTACTGGCTGGACAATGATTGCATGGGCTTCTCCACTCCTACCTGAAGGAGGCAGTGCCTGGTGACATGCCGGTTTTTTATTTATGCCTTTTCTAAACGGCTAATTTAGAAGACAATGATATACAGAGAATTGATATAGATACTCAAAATCACTGAGGATCAATCAAAGCTGGATATGCCAGATCAAATGCTTCACTCTGGAGATAGTGAAACTGTGACTGGAGAAGGACCCAAGCTGACACCAGAACCTATGTTGTACCCACCATCCTGGGTAATGCCCAAAAAGGGGAACTGATTTGGTACCAATGATGCTTTCCACCAGGATATTTTAGTAACTGGAAGGAACAGTATCTTGTCTTGTTTTTAAATTCTGAAATTCTTGCTTATTTGTTATTAATTTCATGTGGCATTTGACAATTCATCTCATGTAAACCCTAGAATGATTCCTAACGCTAGTATTATCTGTTCCCTTTGTCTTATGATGATAACAAGGTCAGAATTATTGTGGCTTTCACCCAAGTACAGAAAAGCAGTAATTGGCAGAATGAGGTTTATAGTGTAAGCCTAATGGGTATTGTTCTGCCACACCAAATTGCCTACTTCCTTTATTTAACATTACTTTTTAATCAGATGAGTAGTACAGAAATACCCTTGGTGAAAAGAACAAAAATGTTATAAAGCTAAAATCCCTTTTGACTGCCACACCCCAGCCCCGTCCCCTTTGCTCTGATCACAGAGGTGACTGACACAATGAGCTGGTATACATTCCACCAGACACCTTTCTGTGCATCTACCTCCATTCATCTGTGCCCACAAAAAAATGCAAGCTATTTTATTAATTTTTTAAAATGCTTTTGCATTTTGTGTTATTTGAAATTGGCCTTTTGCATACATTAACAAGGTTTGGAGTTTTTGTCTTTAATTGATATTGATCTGATTCTAATAATCTTCTATATAGGAGTCCCATGGAATGAATATGCCATATTTTTGCTGTTCCCCATACACACATCATTCATTATGCTCACATATATGTGAGGGNTTTGCATCTGGGTGGTATAGAACAAAATGCTCTGTTCTGAGCTGCTGTTGTATTTTGGTCACTAGCCATCGACACTGGGAACATGTCTAAATTGCTCTGGTTCTTCCATGTGTGAAATGAGGGGGTCAGCTAAGACCAGTTTTAGCAATCCGTAATTCTAGGACTAGACAATGTTGGATGTCCCTTACAGTTTTAAAAGTTTGTAGTTTCTTTCACATGAATCTTTCAAATGTGAGGTGTGGGAAAACACCTATATTCCAAGGAAAACAAATGTGTTCTATCCCTCAAGCCTTTGTCTGCTCTTTCTTTCTTTTCTCTATAAATCCATGTATCCTCAGATCTCTACCTAAGTCAGTCTTTTTGTGAGCTCCCATAGTCCATGGACTAGTTTAGTGTCTGCTATGAGTTCCTGTCTTCCCCGGCAAAGAACTTGGCACCTTGTAGTAACTATTCTCTTATCTTCTACTCTTCCCAGATACTCTGTAGGGGTAAATGGATTGGAAGCAGTTACTTTTTTTTAATCAGTGTTTTTGTAGTAGTCTTTATCTTGTCCTGGAAACTTGAGGTATGGAGGGTTTTCTTACGCCAAAAGTTGCCAGAGTCTATGTGTACATTTCCTGTTACTGGCTGGACAATGATTGCATGGGCTTCTCCACTCCTACCTGAAGGAGGCAGTGCCTGGTGACATGCCGGTTTTTTATTTATGCCTTTTCTAAACGGCTAATTTAGAAGACAATGATATACAGAGAATTGATATAGATACTCAAAATCACTGAGGATCAATCAAAGCTGGATATGCCAGATCAAATGCTTCACTCTGGAGATAGTGAAACTGTGACTGGAGAAGGACCCAAGCTGACACCAGAACCTATGTTGTACCCACCATCCTGGGTAATGCCCAAAAAGGGGAACTGATTTGGTACCAATGATGCTTTCCACCAGGATATTTTAGTAACTGGAAGGAACAGTATCTTGTCTTGTTTTTAAATTCTGAAATTCTTGCTTATTTGTTATTAATTTCATGTGGCATTTGACAATTCATCTCATGTAAACCCTAGAATGATTCCTAACGCTAGTATTATCTGTTCCCTTTGTCTTATGATGATAACAAGGTCAGAATTATTGTGGCTTTCACCCAAGTACAGAAAAGCAGTAATTGGCAGAATGAGGTTTATAGTGTAAGCCTAATGGGTATTGTTCTGCCACACCAAATTGCCTACTTCCTTTATTTAACATTACTTTTTAATCAGATGAGTAGTACAGAAATACCCTTGGTGAAAAGAACAAAAATGTTATAAAGCTAAAATCCCTTTTGACTGCCACACCCCAGCCCCGTCCCCTTTGCTCTGATCACAGAGGTGACTGACACAATGAGCTGGTATACATTCCACCAGACACCTTTCTGTGCATCTACCTCCATTCATCTGTGCCCACAAAAAAATGCAAGCTATTTTATTAATTTTTTAAAATGCTTTTGCATTTTGTGTTATTTGAAATTGGCCTTTTGCATACATTAACAAGGTTTGGAGTTTTTGTCTTTAATTGATATTGATCTGATTCTAATAATCTTCTATATAGGAGTCCCATGGAATGAATATGCCATATTTTTGCTGTTCCCCATACACACATCATTCATTATGCTCACATATATGTGAGGGCTGCAGTAAACATTTACAAATAGGTTTCCTTGTACACATGTGCCTTTCTAGGGTAGATAACAAAACATGAAAGTGTGAATGCTTAACTAGGATACATGCATGTTCAGTATCAAGAGAACCTGCCAAAATGCCCGACAGTGTGGCTGTACCAACTCACATCCCATTTCACGCAGGTTTACTCTGGTAGGCTAAGTTATTTCCTGGGTCCCTGTCTGGCAAACACTGGGTATTATGAACCTTCTAAATTTTTGCCAGCCTAATAGGTAAAATTTACTGGCTGTTTGTATTTCCTCATCTGTGAATTGCCTGTTACGTCCTTTGTCAGTTTTCCTATCAGGTCTTTTCCTATTGAGCAGTAGGATGCCTCCTTCTATACCATGATACATGGAGAAATAAACTGCCGCATCTCCAGTAGAAAGAATTCTCATACATATTTTTAAATTAATTTTCCAAATATTCATAGGAATAAGCTCATATTTTAGATGTTATTATTTTAGGTGAATGCACGCTGTGTTGCTAACACAACTGAGGGTGATGACAATGAATTTATTTCTCTTCCTGGGTGCATGGTGGGCAAAATGGACTTCCACAGCATTCCCACCGTGGCGATGTGAAGGGACTGTGAGTCCAGGGAAGGCTCTGGGATGGGCTGAATTTGGAACGGCTCTCATCACGAGAGCCAACTGTGAAAAAACCAGGAAGCACATCCTTTTTTTTTACCATCTGGGCGACCTTAGTGTCTGTGCTCACCTTCTCCTAATATCTGGATGTTCCTGATCCCCGGAGCCAGAGAGGAACAGGGTACTGCTGGCCATGTCTAACAACACAGCTTAGCCAAATGGGTTAACAAAGTTAGTGAATGGAGGCACTTAGGGGGTTGCTTTGGAGAAAATAAGCAGGGACCGAGGTACCCAGAGGGAGCAGGATGTAGTCCTGATGATTTGGAGCTTCAGCCTGGGTTTCATTTCAATAGCACTTTTTTTTTTGTCTAGAATAATTTTTGATGCTCATTTATAACAGTGGGCTTAACATCTGCAGCAGTGAAAATGTTTTTGCAGTTGCTCAGAGATTGAAGTAATCTTAGAAGAGCTTGTCTAGAGGTCCTCACCCACTGTTGAGGTGGACTTAAAAATATCAGAACAACTGGGAGAATTTGGTTATGTACATTTCCATGGGCCTCAGCCTCAGAGATTCTGACTGAGGGGTGGGCAATAAAATATGTATTTTTAACAAGATCCCCAGGTCATGCTGATGAGCAGTTGAAGTTGGGAAACATGGATACTTCATTTTAGAGCTGGTCAGACCTCCCAACTCACATAAGTAATGTGGTAAAACTAACTCTCTAACATTTTGTATGTCATACCTGCCATTCTATATAAATCTATAATAATAACTGGTCCCTTCCAGTTCTAGAGTTTTAAAAATCTTTGCATTGCACCTAACTTCATATCCTCTAACAAATAAATGTTCCAGAGCAATTAATTTCTATTCCCAGGACTGAAAGGACAGGACAGTGGAGTATATAGTTCAACCACCTATATTCCTGCCCTAGCCCTCTCTGGGCTAGAAGACACAGAGAGACCATTTGATGCATTCAAGTCAATAGTACAGAGTCACTGCTTATGCAGTGGGTGGAGTGCTGTTTTTGGACCTGTTTATATGAGTTTGTGGAATTGGGCAAAGAGTCAGGATCTTTCATTGGAAAGATTATTGGTTTCTTGAATAGTATTCAAGATCAGAGTTGTTAAGTCAGCAGAAAGGACTTGCTGAGGAGATGAGCTGAGAGAATCAGGTGGGGTCTCCTTTTGGGGTGTGCAGTCCAGAGCTCAGGTGCGGTGAAGCGCACATCTGAATTTAGGCTAAAGAAACATATTCACTACAATTCTCTTCACCTTCCTGGAAGCATCTATCTGCACAAAGGCTGGGTAGCACATCTGAGAGCTTTGGTTTACCGCATCTCCTAGTGTTCTCATCTTTCCTCACAGCTCCAGCTGCGTCAGAGACTGTGACAGCATTTTTGGGTCAGTCGGTGACTTTGCCCTGTAGGTATTCATCCTGGTCTCAGAGCAACAGCATGTGCTGGGGCAAAGGCCAGTGTCCCAATTCCAAATGCAATGAGGAGATAGTCCACACCGATGGCCTGAGGGTGCTCTCCAGGAGGTCAGCAAAATACGAACTTCAGGGGGATATCCAGAGAGGGGATGTCTCCTTGACCATCTTCAACACCGATGAAGGTGACAGCAGTGTGTACTGCTGCCGCATAGAAGTGCCTGGCTGGTTCAATGATGTGAAAAAGAACATTCACCTGCAGCTAAGGAGAGGTGAGTACAGGAAGGGGCTCGTGTCTGCGGGAAGAGAGATTTGGTGGTTAATGGGTAATGAATTCAGTGGGTGGTGTCAGACAGGCTGTAGCTGCTAAGCAGTGAGTGGGCTGGCAACAATCTGAGATGTGTTGCTATGACTAGGGGAGCTGCAGTATGGAGTAAATGCTGTGGGGGCCAAGAAGGTCACAGAAATGAGTGAGGGGAGATAGTGGGGAAGGGAACCTGTGAATTGCAGGGTCAATCTGAAGAGGGTACCTGCTGCTTATCTGCAGGGCTGTTGACTTGCAGACATTTGGACCCAGTGTTCTCAGATCCCCCCAACTTACATGTGAACTACATTGTTTTTTTTTGCATGCTGGCAAAGATGTAAAAATTAAGAAAAATACCATGTAAACTCAATAAAAGGTGTCCATGAGTCAGCTTCAGCTGTAAGCCAATAGTTTGCAGCTGCTACCAGAAGGGAAAGGGCTTGGGATTTGGAGACACTCAGTGAGGTTTGCAGGGACTCTTTCCTTCTGTTACTGTCAGTTGCTTTTGATGAAATTTGGAATATGGTAGAACACCTAAAGATTTGAGCTACGTAGAGTACAGCTTATGGTTCGACTATGCTGACAATAATCACCTTTCTCATTTACCTGGAATGGAGCCTCTCAAAATAAGCTCTGTGCTCAACTAGCATCAATGATGCAAGATTCTTTTCCTAACTGGATCGGCATCTTAGAAAGAGGGTCTGGATAGCCAAATGCTTATCAAACTCCTCTGGCTGCTCTAATGCATTCTAAAATTTGAGAACTGACAAGGATGCTTCTAATTAGAGGACTTTTATACCCATTAGTATATTTTTCTCTAAAGGCAACTGTGTGAAATAGAAGGTATTATTCTGATTTACTGACATTAAATGACACCAGTCTGAGTCTTCTCTTTTCAAGCCTTATATAACCAGCTATTATTTTATAAAAGGCTTGTTCACCCCAATACTCTATGGAGTCATTTCTAAGTTCACTTGAATCTAATGCTGCCTTTCTGGGTCTATCAGTTAATGGACATTTGGCATCTTTAAGAGAGGGTAGTATCTAGAATAACTGTGGTTAATGAACACAAATTCAAATGCTTAGTGGGCATGAACTCATCTTTAATATCTGAAAGCTACTACTTTTCACCCTATGTTCTATATTCTGGGCTCACTTTTTTAAGGCTTAATTTTATTTTTATTTTATCATTGGTAGAAGACCTAAGATAGGTTCTACCCTCTTAGCAAATTTTCAAGTGTACAGTATATTATTGTTAACTACAGGTACAATGTTGTGCAGCAGAGCTCTAGAACTTACAGACCTTGTGTAAATGAAATTTCATGTTTGGGCTCACTTTTGATACATTTGTCTATTCATTTATGCAATGTTTTTGGAATACCTACTATGTGCCCAACACTAGTAGGTATTAGGTCTGTAGCAGAGAACAAATAAATACCAGATTTTTCCCTCATGTAGCTTACAGTCTAGTCTAGTGAGAGAAGAAGGCATTAAGCAATAATCATCAAATGAATAATGTGTAATTAAGAAATGTAATAAATGCTGTGAAGGTAAAGCATGGAAGTACAAAACCATGAAACCTAAGTGTTACTGCAGAATACAGATAGCCTCCTTGCAGAAGTATCCTTTTTAGCTGAGACATGAGGGTTAAGCCACATAGAGAGACTAGGAAGCAGCAGGCACAGTTTCTCCAGCCAGAACGGTCACTAGTATGTTCAAAGAACTGAAGAAAGGCCACTGGGCTGGGGCAGGGTGAGGAGAGCAGAGGGGACAATGAGAGGAGACAGGACAGCACCGGATCAGGTGGAGTGTCGTGGGCCAGGTTTGCCGGTCGGCTTCTTTATCTTAAGGGCCAGGAGAACTCAGCAAAAAGTTTTAAGCGGGGAGAGGACATAACTACACTTGTCTTTTAAAAAAGATTAGCCAGTGTACGAGAACAAATCAGAAAGGTTAGGAGCAGTATGGGCATTGCGATGGTCCAGCTAGTAGACCGTGTGAAGGTGGCAGAAACGGCGAGAAACAGCAAGAAACGGATCGGCCGGATCCGGATAGGCTCGCACCGTTTCCCTCACCTTCTGTTGGTTCAGCAACAACCCGCCTTCCGACCACCAGCACTGGTCTGACGACACCAACCGCCGGGCTTCCGGCAACGACCGCCATCACGCCGGAACTCACCACCGCAGCACCGCATCAGGCCGGAACTGCTGCTGCGCGCACGACGGCAGCCACGTGTCCGCCGACCTCCCCGCGCGCCCTCCCGGGGGCAGTCACGGCGCGGACGTCTGCGCCTCCCGCGGAGGGGCCCGCCCCCACTGCAGGTACGAGGTACAGCCGCTCAGGGCTACTTTGGGTCTCCTGGGAACAGGGCTCTCCCCTGAATGGGGCAGCCCAGAGACGTGCTTTCCGGTGTGTGTGGCATGGTGTGGTGTGTGTGTGTGTGTGTGTCAACAGAACTTTGTTTTCTCACAATTCTGGAAGTCTGAGTAAGGTTGATTTCTTCAGGGGCCTCTTTCCTTGGCTTACAGATGGCCATCTTCTCCCTGTGTCTTCACATGGGCCTCCTTCTGAGTGTGTCTATATTCTGATCTCTTCTTTTAATAAGACACGTCATGTTAGTCCATCAGTACAACCTCATTTCACCTGAATTACTTCTTTCTCCAGATATAGTTACATTCTTAGGTACTAGGGGTTAGGTCTTGAGCATATGAATTCTGGTGGGATACATTCGGCTCACAGCTGTGCATAACTGTGTGTGTTGCATGCATGTGTGTGTGTGTGTACATGTGTCATTGGGGATGCGGTTTCACTGAATTGTTCCTTATTTTTGTTTTATGGTTTCCTTTTCTTTTTTTCTCTCTGCTTTTGATAAGTCAACTTTTTTGGTTCTCCAGTTGACCTTCCAAGAATCTCGGAGATGTTTACTGAAGAACCAGGAAATGTCACCCTGGGTCAGACTCCAGTTCCACCCTGCCAGGAGTTAAGTCTCTTCCTGGCAGTAGAGATTAGATGAGGATAGGCCTCCAGATGCCTTAAAATATCCCTTGATGATGAACTGGTTCTGGCCTTGTTTCTTCCTTCTTCCCTCCCACCCTCCTTCCTTTTTTCCTTTCCTCTTTCCCTTCTTCGTTCTTTTCTTCCTTTCTTCCTTTTTTTCTGAATCCTTCTTCATCCTGCTTCTTGGGCCTCTCACTGAGTTATTAGCTTCATGGCTAATGAGGGCTTATCACAGTTCCTACTATGTTTCAACCTCTGATTCTGAGGTAAGAATATTGAAAAACAATTATGAGATAGCTTGAAGGCTTTTTTAAGGCATTCTAGCTGCCTCAATAAAAACTGGATAATTTAGATAGCTTTATAATACCAAATTGGCTAATTCTATTTTTTTTTGAGAGGTCACCTCTCCTATTTATTGATTAAATGGTTGTTTACAACAATAAAATTCTGTATAGGGGACTCAATGCACAATCATTAATCAACCCCAAGCCTAACTCTCAACAGTCTCCAGTCTTCTGAAGCATAATGAACAAGTTCTTACATGGTAAACAAATTCTTAAATAGTGAGTAAGTTCTTACATGGTGAACAGTTCAAGGGCAGTCATATCATGGAAACTTTTGGGTTTGATCACACATCATGAACTATAAACAATCAAGTCAGATATGATTATTCATTTGATTTTTATACTTGATTTATATGTGAATCCCACATTTCTCCCTTATTTTTTTTAAATTAAATGCTGAAGTGGTAGGTAGATGTAAGATACAGGTAGCAAGCATAAGTTAGTGCTGTAAGAACTCAAGTGTAGATGATCAGGTCTGTACCTATAGACTAAGTATTAATCCAAGCTAAACAAGGGCAACAGAACATCCACGGATGCAGAAGATTTCTCTCAAACAGGGGGGGTGAGGTTCTAAGCCTCACCTCTGTTGACCCCCAATTTCTCACCTGATGGCCCCCTAATTCTATTTTATTCTGAGTAGTCACCTAAAGTCCATGAACCCTAAACCTGTCATTTTTGTATGCAGTTTTTATTCTTCTGGCCTTTAAAATAACCATCTTAAAATGTAAAATTTGTAGGTTTTTTCCCCTTGATTCTAAAAATTACTTGCAATCCTTGAAGAAAACCTGAAATATATAGAAAAGCACAAAGACTACCATAAAAATAGTTATTTTTTTAGCCACTTTTTATCAGAGGTTTTTCTCTTTCAGAATCACAAACTTTCCTTCTCCCCAGTGACTCTCAGAGAAGCACTGAGGTGACTTCTGGAGACAGTGCCTTACTAACATCCAAAGGTAGGTAGACACTTGCTCTCTTTTTCTGTTTTCTCATCCCTTGGACTGAGAATAATAAAATATCATTGAACCAGGCAACTAGAGATGACTTTTGGGTTCTTTGTGCCATGGAGCCCACCCAGGATAAATTGCTATCAGGGCAGCATTTGTGGTTCATTCATTCTTGAGGGGGGTGAGAGAGAGAGAAAGAGAAGGGGGGGTTGGGGGGAGGGGGGAGGGGGGGGGGGAGAGGG